CTCAGCAGTTATTTGAAAGCTCCAAACAGCTTGTGGGAGTTGAACTTATACAAAAATGTTCTGACGGCAGAATGAAAAATGATTGGTTGAGAGCGGTAACTAATGAGATTATAGAGAAGGTGGGTCCAAGCAACTATTGAAGGCAGGACCTTCTGATTGGTTGGCCCCACCTCCTCTACAATCTGATTGGTTATCTCTCTGAACCAACCATTTTTCGTTCTGCCCCCAGGACAGTTTTGTAATAGCAAAACTCCCATGAGCCTCCATAACCTCAGTATCATTTCTACTTGGAACAGTTAGAATATGAAAGAAGGGGGGAATTTTCTTAGGAGCAAATGTGACAGACAGTTTCGGCTTTAGCTGGAGACCGCCAAATTACAAATTACGTCTCCGCCGTTGTGTCAGTGGGAACCGGAATAATCAGGTTGAAAAGATCCAACGCTTCCATATTGAGAAGAGCAGGCGGCCCGTGTGGAAATAAGGGCATTAACTTCAGGCCTGGTCATGGTACTGTCTGAGATGGTTGGCCTACAGAATCCCCCCCACCCCCCCATGGCCATAACTATGTCTTGCTGCTGGCAGCCTATGGATCTGTGCTTCTGTGCTATTAACAAAAGCCAGCTGTGAAGGTCTCCATTAGAAATGGGATTTTAAAGCCTGGAATGAAGCAGGACAGGTCACTCAGACCAGTAGGAGACGAGCTTCTGGTCCAGCAGCTAAACTGGAGCCCAGGTCTACGTGATGGTATTTGTCTTTAACTGGTTATTAATCCTCCGTTACTTACTTAAAGTGAGATAACCCTCACAGAACTCAAACTCCGTTTTAAATTCATTCATTCCTCACAGGTCTTAAGCCATTTTTCCCAATATCAGTATTTATTTAAGGATTCATTAAGGATAAAACTACATAAAAGAGAAATAAACAAAATGACTGTTTCCAAGAATTCAGACAGGGTAGGAATTCTAAGGAACAGCTATAAGATATATAATGTTTAAAAAGCATTTTCCTCCTCTTGAAGCTGGAGTCCGGGAGTAGAGCCGTATGATTCGAAACCGATGTTCTGTAAAACCGCATTCTGGGCAAATGCCTCCAGGAAAATGGCTCCTTTTTTGACGATTTGCACCATGACCTCTGCCAAATGGCCCGGAAATAACTGAGGGTGATTTATACCAGTTGGGTTCTAGAAATCTCTGGCAGACAGAATCTTTGGTCACTGATCAAGCCTGAATACGGCAGCTCGTGTAATATTTGGGGTCTGAGACCTTCTCATACAACAGAGTACGGGCTGGGAGGTAATATGTAATGTTTTTTTGATCAATTAGACATCCTCTCCCCTATTAGACACCCAATCAGTCCTCTAAATAACCCTAACCTTAGCAAGTCCGCTGGGTGTCATTAAGGGTGCTACCTGGAGTCCCAGGGCTTTTGATAACTTGCCATGGCAGCACATGATCTCACCCAAATGCTATCCTGGGGCCTGTTTCACAAAGCAGGATTTCTTGCTTAGCCAGATAACTTGTCAGATTTAAGGTAGTCTGCGCTAAGTGAAAGAAGATAAAGTCCATGTAACCCAGACTACTTTAAATCCGACAAGTTATCCGGCTAAGCAAGAAATCCTTTGTGAAATAGGCCCAAGGGTGCTCCACAGTCATGATTGTACAGTAAGAGTTTAGCTAAGGAGCATTCCTATTGGACAATCATGACATCTAGCTTAAGTTAACCCAGCAAGCTAAGAAATCCTGTTTCATGGAACACTCCGCGGTCCATGATTCTGCTGCCTTCCCACTACAGTCACCACTGAAGAATCATGACCACTGGGATGAACAGCAGTATAGTCACTCTGCTAGGCTAGTTAGCACTGATCACTTATTTAAACTTTAGTGAGTTCAATTTGTTTCTTATAATTCAGCTTCCTGATGCAGCAGGATGTCTGATGTTATCAGGCATAACAGAATAAATAATGCATGAAGAGACCTATCAAATCCTATAGGACTCAGAGCACAAGAACACAGATATTGGGAAGAGCTGTTATTCTGGTTAATAGCAGGCACTTTTAATCAAAGTGACACGGAGTTCAAACAGCTGGTTCAATCACTCCCTGGAGCAATCGAAGGTTAAGGGCCTTACTGAAGGACCCACCAGTGAAATCACACTCTGAACCTGGCACCCTCCAACCACAAGTACAGTGTCCCAGCCTGCTCAGCCACACACAACCCCATGATGAATGCTTAATGTAATATGTGCTTTAATAACAACTGATATTTTGAAGCCATCAGTGGTAAATAAGATTACGTGGAGGAGGACAATAATTTGCAATGTATTTATAATTATTTATGTGGAGGCAATAAAGGAACTCTATTAGTATCTGAAATGTCCGTGAAGGTGCCTCTATCCGAGAAAAAGCCCCTCACTAGATGTGTTATAGCTAACGAGATCTTAATGTCGGTACGTCCTGATCTGCTCGTAGAACATCACGCACCTCAAACTCAAACCCTCGACAGTCAATGAGCAGCTGCGACTTAGATCCAGTCATCTATCACGTATACAACTGATTAAGTAACGTGTCCAGCTGTTGTCAGACGTGTCCAGTTGTCCAGCTCATTTTGTTTCTATTTTAAGCATCTGAAATGTACATTAAATATTAAAATAGACCAGGACGGACATCAGTGTTGTGATTTGACAGATCTCAGCAGAATATAGTAATGAATTAATGTGACGGCTGTCTAAATGACTGTAACGAATCCCCCTAGGATGGATCAGTGAGGGTTGATTAATTATCGATGTGCAGTCTGCTGGGACTTCGGTGAGCTGTGGACTGAACCAGCGAAATTGATGGCTGGATAGAGAGGGGGTTGGCTGCCATGAATGCACACCCTTCTGTTGTAGAGGAAAATGCTAATTGATAGCATTAGCGGCCGCCTTAGCAGAAATCGGGGTTGGGGGGGGGGGGGGGGGGAGCGAAGTCATCATGCTCTCAGATGGGCAGAGAGGCTTTCCGTTCAGTGGATTGGAATAAGTATGGGGCACAGAGGACATGGAAAGCGATTAAAAATGGCTGGCGGGGATGCGATGCGGGAAGATCACCACTGTGTCGCCGAGAAGACCTCATGTCCTGGACCTCATGTCCTGGACCTCCTTGCCGCAGCAGCTCTGATTGGTCTTGGAGTGACTTGTCTGACTCTAGTGCCGCGAACCCAAGCGCTGGGAGAGATTGAAACTCAGCGGGCGTTTCCACGCCGTCTTCAATAAGCCCGCTGGTGGGATCCCACTACATTTAGATGGACTACATGAAGTCCAGTCCGGAATGAACATCGATTTCGAGGAAGTTGGCTTCGCGCTGGCCCCGGTAATCCTGTAATGGATTTTGCCACGCTACCCACCCCTAGCCCTCGGCCCGTCCCTTTCAAGCCATGCGTAGCATTTCTCTTAAAATGCGCCATGCGCCTGCCAGATACTGTGCTCTCTGCAATGTGGCTTTTGATGTGCAGTTTGATATTTCAAAAACTATTAGCTGACTCTGGCTTTTTAAGTTGAATTGTATTATATCATAAACGTTGCTGGGTAAATGTTATAATTTGTGTGCGCCCTGTTCCAGCGTTATTGTTGCTTTGTCCCTAAGCTACAATCCCCATTGAATGACCTACTCTCGAAATTCACGGTGGGGGGCTGGGGGGAGTGATTCTGTGTGGGATCCTTTTCCTTTCATGGCTTTGATTTCCGCTTCCATCAAAGGGACGGCTTCACTTCCCAGTCTCTTCCCTGCCGGCCTTCTCTGACATAAATGCTATAGGGGCAACGTTTGACAAGAAGGTCCGTAATGTATGGGAAAGGAACATCGAATACCAGTCCATGCTCATCTCAGATGAGGCTGTGGAAGTCATTGAGCACATTGATCTATAAATCAACATTATTATGTGTTACACACCTGAAGCTGGATGCAGCGTGCTCATTAATGGAGTCCCAATAGGTCGAGACTACATTACTTACTTATTCAGCAGATCCTAGCATCCAAAGCGACATACATCTTTGAGGGATTTGAACCTGCAGCCTTCCAATCACAGGCACAGCATCATGGTCCACTAAACCACACACCATGTTACAAAGGGCGGAGTGCTTCTGTCACTTCCGGGGAAGTTCAGAGATCTGTTCCTCAGTGTTTTCTGTTCCGTCCTTGGGTTTGGAAGCAGAGACAGTGCTGGTCACCTTGGCCTGAGAGCGGGCCGCCCCAGGAGTGGCTCGGGGTATTGGCAGAACCCTGCGAGATTCTGACTCGGTCACTCGAGAGTTAATATGGCAGCAAATCTGGAGCAAATCGAAGGTGTTGAAACATCTGCTTTGTGTGCTGGGATTGGTCTCCAGGGGTGAAGAGGGAGAATGGAGGTGTGTGGAAAATTTGGAGGGGGGGGGGGGGTAAGAGCTCACTTTGCTCACTCGAGTCAGCATGTCATGGCCTTCTCTGCATTCTATCAGCTGGCATGCCTGCCTTAGTCTGTTTTGTCTACGGGTTCCAGTTTTGGGCAGTAAGCTGTGATATATTTGGCTGTCTAGAGATAGTGTCTGGTTTTTCTTTTACTGCCTGGCCCTGGACCTTAAACAGCCTTTCTTTCGATTTCGGGAATAAACAGAAATATAGCATGACTCTGAGCCGCTGACGTTTTATTGTACGTAAAGCAGATTCTAGCCAATAGCTGAATATCTTTTTGTTTTGAAAGCACTTGTGAAAATGATGGTTTCCTGTGTTCTTTTGATTGTGTTGGTTTACAGTGTATCCCGCTGATTCCAAAGCATACAAGGACTGTGCAGTTGTTGAGGAAGGCCTTCTGTAGAGCATTTTGGTTTGATTTGTTTCTCCAATGCAGATCCTGCTGTTGGACAGTTGAGCAGATGCTGTAGTATAGTTGTCTACCTGTAGGTTTGTAGGTTTGTTTGCCAGACTGATGGTATTTTTGCCGCCAAGCTGAAATCCATGCACTCTGACCAAGGTGTCTTTTTCATTGTAGATCCCGCCTTGGTAGACCTCATGCAGTATGAGCTCCCCATCCTGGCTGACACGCTGAGGGGATACCTGCAAGATCTTCCATCCCCGGTCGTCCCAGCTGCCATCTACAGCGAGCTGGTCTATACGGCTCAAGGTGAGAGTCCTAGGAAGGCCATGGGCATCATCGAAGACCTCAAGCAGAGAGGTCATGAGCACGGGGGCTGTAGGCCAGCCAACTTATCGCTAATCGCTATTCTGACATAGAGGGCTATTGCGCTGCACTTTAGCCTGGTTTTGACCTGGTATAACATTCACATCCAGGTTGACTAAGTTGATTCATGTTGATTAGACTGTTTTAAGGTTTTACCTGAAGTCATTGGGTGAAGTTAAAAACAATGTTAAGGTAAGAAAAAAACAACAAAAAGTCTTCATGCTACCAGGAATAATGACATGGTCAAACGCAAAATTATTATATTTCCACACTGAGTTTTCTAAAATTAGCATTATTAGTGGTATTAGTATATTATTTATTTTTACACTTTGTGCCAAAAGCTTCAATTTGTGTTTCATTGTTTTTTGCTTCCCTGTCTCTGACCATATTTCTCGGTTTAAGATCCATTTCCCCTCTATAGTGCCTTTAATATTTTTTTACTTATTATTTTGGTACGTATCTCTGGATCTCATGTCCCCATGCATGCTGTTGCTTTCCTTTTTAAAGAGCTGGTAATGCCGTCCTCTTAGCTTAGCAAGCACAGCTAAGCTTAGGCTATATCCCCGACCTCCGTTGAACCCTCCAGAAAGACCCGGCATCTGTCTGATTTCGCCCAGACCTTCACGCCTGGTGCGGTCCTGTGACGGCCGCGCTCCATCTGTCATCGTCTTCAAAGGAGTGGCACCCCCATGTTCGAGGCAAAGGCCATGGCTCGTGGTTCACAGTCGTAATTCCTGGTCTTCAGTGGTCAAGCGGAAGGTGAAATCTGATTAACGTAGTGTTACTCCCCTCCACGCCCGTGGAGAGCATTGAGCATGTGGTTTAGCGTTTAGTGGACCAGGTCTGGCCAGGATCTGTCAGGAGATCTGACTGTGTTTGCTAAGCCGCTCGCTAAATCTGATTTCTACACTGGTACAGCTCTTTACTTTGAAAGATTAATTATCTAATTTAATTATTAATCCTGGCTGTTCACTATAATCCCATGTTCTGCTCTTCCGTTTGACGCCATCTCGCCTACCCGCATTAGTTAACGTGTCTCTGTGAAGGTCTGCCTACAGAAAGCATCAGGGCTTGCTAAGATGTTCCTGCTCGGATTTAGATGGCCGCTTTTTCAGCTCCTGCACAGGCCCCTAATTCCATTATCCTGCATGATCCATTTGGAAGATCGGCTAGCTCATAGACGCCATTTTCCCAAAGGGCTTCTGGTCCGTCGACAGCTGGTCTTGGCCAAGTTCCACGCTCTGCCCAATTGAGCAGGGGTCAGGCTTTATCAATACCAGGCAGGAGTTTGCTGTGGGGGTGAGGAGCAGGGGGGGGCCCAGACAATCGAAGGCAGGGCCCCGGCATTGGTTACTGGCAACCAGACAAAGGTCAGGGGTCTGACCCCTATCAAAGCAGGAGATTATCCATCCGTCACTCGGTAGCTCGGTGCCTGGCTGGTCGTGACCTCCAGCCCCGGGACACTTGTCTCCCAAATAAAAACCAGCCTCCCCTTCAAGCCTTGGGCCACAAATCCAGTTTGGTATTAGAGAGCTGATGAGGTAAGTGTGGTGCCTGCTTGTGTGCAAACAAAGTGAAGCTGAATTTGATGTATCTTGCTGAAAATGGAAGTATCTGAATGATGATTCTTTGGTGGAGGGCTTCGATGTTTCTGACACAATTTGCAACATATCCAGTGTTATCCATGACTGGAGCCTGGATTTTAGAAAGACAGAGGTCCTCTGAAATAACATGGCTAACACACATGAAATATAACCTGTTGTGTGACAGACATGACTTAGACAGAACCAGAAGTGCATCCGCATCTGAGTATAGCAGGTGTAAGAGCAGAGGGTGGTTCTCAATACCAAGAACACACAGATCGTACTTATGGTCTTTCCAAGAGCGTTCTTGCTATCGTGCCTCCCAAGACGAAGTTGGGGCGCAATGAATGATGGCATTGGTCTTGTTTGGTGAGGATGCAACCAATGTGCCCTTGATATTTGGTGCAGGGCTGGAACGACATCCGGGGATTTTTACTGTCCTCTGTACTTCTGTTCTTAGTTCGGCAATGAAAGGTGACATAAAACGGGTACAAGAGAACACAAGTACGGTCAAGTACACATATCGACAAACACCCAGTGTTTAGTGTAGAGCAGTGGTCACCAACACGTTGATTATACCATCACCACCCCTCCCCCAACCCCACCCCCCATGTAGCTCTCCACAGAGACCCCTGAGTGTGTATTATGTTTCAATGTGTTGTGTTGAAGGTTTGTGGTACCATTTGAGCATAAAGGCAATTAGGAACCATTGGGGATGGTGGAGCATGCATGTTTAATTTGGCATCATTCATCCCCCCCAAATAATAGGCCTTTGCATTTAAACTATTAAACTGTGTCCTCCCCAATATCAAACTTTCACACCCCTGTACCGAGATCAGCAGCCCGTTTTCTGGGCTTCTCTCTCATTCAGCAGGGTCCTCCTACCCCGGGCTCTCAGTCGGACCCTCTGCTGAGATTGCTGTTCTTGTGCGCTCCCTTCAGAGACCCCGGCCATTGAGGAGTGCGGCCAGCAGCTCCGGAGGATCCTCTACTCCCCCAGCATCCCTCACACCAACCAGCAGCTCCTGCTGCACCTGACGCGGCATCTGTGTAAGGTGGGGCAGGCCCCCGGTGCCGTCGGGCCGCGGCTGCTGGGACACGCCTTTGGCGACCTGCTCTTCCGACGTTGTGTCTCCAGGTAACCGGAGCCCCCCTGTTTGTGCGTGTGGGATGAGAGGCGAGACCTGAAGGGTGGGGACTGGTGGGGGGTGTCAGGGTGAGGTCAGCATTAATAAACAATCCTTTGAATCCAGGGCAGCCCTCAGCTGTGAGATTTTATGAGTCCGGTGTGTGACTCCCCCCTAACGCTGGAAACGTGGGGGCTGTTTTCTGAGGTTAGGGGTTACCGCGGTGATTAATGAACATGTGAGCTGCAGTTGCTCTCTGTGACGAATTCCAGCTTTCCAGGTCGCTTCTCCTCCTCCTTCTCCTCCACATTCCTGTGCCTCTATCAGGCTTTTAGGGTAGAGTCTTGCAGCAGGTCTGCCCTGGGCAGTGGGAAGGCTCAAACCCTGCTCTCTAACTCTGCACCTCAGTGCTTTATAAAGAAAAATACTTAATTACAATTTTCTCCAAATTTGTAACATCTCTGAACTGTCCCTTAACTAGTCATGCTTAATATTACTACACATGGTTACTTGTAAGATTACTACAAAAAAGCTATTTTGGGTGAAACTATAAAAAGCCCTGTTACAGCAGTATATATACCATATGAAATTGTTTTTGATTTGCCTTGACATATTGGTTGCCCTACACATTTTTTACATTCTTCGTCCTTCAGTTTATCTCGAACTTTGCGGTGGAAACCGACAAGGGCCATGCATTATCTTCCAAACAGTGAGCGAATCTTCGAAATCTGTACAGCTGAAGTTAAAGGGCAGTTTGAGCGTTAAGTCTGCCGTGCGCCATGTAACCTCTTTAACGCGTTTTCATTAGCAGAGATAAGCTGAGGAGTAGCAATATGGACTGAAGATAACGGTATTTACTCTATTGTGCGAAAATATTTCATGGTTAATAAGTCTGGTGGAAGATGCGCTCACAGCTACCAGAGGCTGGAAAGGACGGCAGGGGAGCCGTTATTGATGATCTGAGGAGTGGAGTGTTAGGCCTCGTTCTGCTCAAGGCATGCTAACACTTAGCACACGAGTTAGCCTTAGCGTGGGGGTGTTTTAGTGAAGCTCATCTGTCCCCTGAGCTCACTTTTCTGGGTCTTTCTTTGTTTTTCATACAGTACATGAAAACTTTTAATAGATATGAGTGAGAGAAGTGGATTGTCTCACACAGGCCCATGATCTGCCCAGTGGAAGCGTGCCCCCCCCCCCCGCAAACATGCTCTGAAATGGTATCTTCCGCCTCTTTAATGTTTCCCACCCCCATTGACCCAGCTTCTCGCTGTCCGCAGCACTGACGTAAACCCAGAGCACCACGTGAAGATCGTCGAGGCCCTGCTGGTGGCTGGGGGCTTGGTGGAGATGCTGGCTGCCCCAGGTAAGACCCTTTGGTCCTCTGCCATCTGCTAACAGCAGACACTCCCTGCCTCTTGAGTATGTCGGGGGGTTAAGGGCCTCGCTCAAGGGCCCAAAGGCTATTTTGCTGACCATGTAATGTTAACTGGCACTAAATCACTGAGCCACACGCCACCCATTTCAGGATCTCAGGTGTCCATCCAGGCCTGGTACTTATGACCTGAGCGAGCTTTTTGATTGGTGCATTTGTTTTGTTAGTATATTTTATAGGCCTTCCACTGTTTTGAAGCATTGGCTGCTTTTACTTTCCATGTTTGGAAACACTGCTTCTTTCTGACTCAGTCTGTCGATTGGGAGAGTTGCTTCTTACATAAATGTACATGCCCTGAACTTGCAAGGCATGTTAACTGGAGGAGGGGCGGAGCTCATGGTAAGGAGAGGTGATGGGACAGGGTGCTCTCTCCACTAAATTTACCAGCGGAGTCTTATCTGTGATTCTGAAGCCACAGACGGCCGTGAGGCTGGGAGATCAGTTTCCCATCAGCACCCAGATCAAAACAGGCCAGCGGATAGTGGGCTGTGTTTCTGGGGAAAGTGGACGGGGCGACTCGGAGATAGCGCCCAAGGACAGCTGTCATTTATAGCACTCCTGCATTCCTCCTTCTGAGTTAATGAGTCCATGCTGCACTGGGGAGCGCCACCATAGCTCGGCTCCGGGGCTTAATGAACTGAGTCGACCCAAAGCTGCGATCCTCCAGTATGTCTCCGTGGGAAAACCTGTGGCTGTTTTTTTCTGAGGAAGATGTCATCGCCGGTAACTGCATAAGTACTGCTAGATCGGCCTGCTATGCCTCACGTGACGCTGCTGTCAGCCTGATGCTCCTCTGCTACAAACTCATTCCTACATATCGGCTCTGCAGTTGCCAAAAAATCAGATCAGTGCACTGCGAAGTTAGTATGAGAGCCTGTGTACGATTCACATGTTCGGGGCGGGCAGGCGGGCAAATAGCCTACTTTGGCAGTAAATCAGAACACGGGGTTCTGTTCACTCAGGGCCGGACTGGACTGAGTCCAGTCACCTTAATCAGGCATTACAAGCCGCTGTAACAGTCTGCAGAATCATATATTAATGCTGTGAGTCAGCAGGTCAGGACAGCAGCTGGTAATGTAGTCCCTCTGTGGAGGAATGGATTTTTATCACTAGGATCAGCCGGTTGTGGGGGGGTTACAGAATTGAGGCTGAGCAGAAGTATGAATGAGAGGTGAGAGCTGAGTATGAGTTACGAATCCCGCGTGTAAAGTGCCTCTACTCTGCAGTTAAAACCTGCCTGCAGCTTCCATTAAACATTAAAAAGACTTTTGGGTCTGTGTCCGTGCGTGGCGGGCTTAACGGTTGGCATGGAAATGCTGCCACACATTGGCATCCGGCCCTGTTTTTAATATCGCCCAGCGCTGACAGAAAGACAGCTGGAGGCTACCGGCTAATTGCGTGAATGAATTTGCAAACGAATTAGTAAATAAAAGCCGGTCGATGGCCCGTCTATATGCCACTGCGCCACCATGGGTAGGCAGGCTGCAGGGCAACGCACGTCCTTCACCATGCCCCAAGGGCATTAAGGCGCAGGCAAGACCAGGAGGGAAACTGCTTCCTCAAATGCCGCCCCCCCTCCCCAAGATGAACAGCATGCACTTCCCACAGCTGATGTGTCACCCGTTCGGGTGACTCAGTCCGACGCAATGTGCTAAAAATTACTCGGGCTCTCACACACTCACCCACCAGTGTGCACACACCACAGGCCCTTGCCATCACCACCACCCCCCCCCCCCCTTTTTCCGAAGAGGCACACGGTTCATATATTCATTCTGTAGCCCCCGGACATTTAATTCCCGTTAATGCGCTTCATTTTGGGCGAGAAGTCAGCCTTGGGGCCATTTATAAGCAGGTCCTTCAGCGGCCTGCCTGGGACTCTCGGCATCTCATGGATCCGTCAGGCTGCCAGGGGGGCAGAACCTCTCCGGATTAAAGAGCAGCACTCTGTGCGACTGCAATGACATCACCCTCTTTCTCTCGGTCTATTCTGGGCCCGCTCACTATCAGGGACCCGCGTTATGGCGAGAGAGAAACCAGGCGATCGGGTTTCGTTCAAATAGATGCTCGAACGAATCCGAGAAACAAACGATTAAGCCACGATTCATTCATTTGCGGGTAACGTTGTGGCTTAAAAAAGCCTCAGATGTTAAATGGGGTCATTTATCTTGCTTCCATGAAGTCACAGGTTGCGTGTGTGTGTGTGTGTGTGTGTCTCTCTCTCTCTCTCTCTTTCACTCACTCTCACTCGCTCTCTCTTCTTCTGCCTCTGCAATGTGAATCAGCCCCCTTTCGATTTGCGCCTGCAATCTCTGTCGTTGTCACACGTCCCCTGACTGTCACTCATCTCTGCAGATCCCAGGGTCACAACGGCACTTTGGTTTCGTTTGGCGACGTGCATCTTCATCTTCGCATTGGTGGACAGCCTATAAGACAGTGGATAAAACAGCTTTAAATCAGTTAGAAGGGCTGCATTTGAAATGTGTTGTTTAACTGTTGTTGAAGGACAGACTCTGTATATCTGGAAAGTACGTGGGAGTAGGATGTATCCCATCTGCAGTGCTCTGAGTGGTGCTGGTTAGCGACAACTGCTATGCTGAAGGAGATGTGACACTGTATATCTTTAGGGGGCAATAACAGATGCTGGTCACTGTTTCCAGCCTCAGCTTAGAGGAGACTGACACTACCCTGGGCCTACAAACCCAAATTTACATTCCTGTAACGTGTGATCGATGGTTTACCATGAATTTAGGGAGGAAGAGCAAGGTAGAGGGACAGCAAATTGAGGAAAATGTCAGGAGAGCAGACTGTTAAGGGTGAGGTCACCCTCAGAGATTCTCACTTTGGTTCCCCGTAATAACGACGAAGATAAGGAAGAAACGATGCAGCCTGATGATGGAGTTCAGTCCAAAAATGCCTGGATTTAATCCCCAAAGTTGAGCCAAATCCTCTTGGAATTCCTCACCTGCCTCCCTTCAGTCCTGCCCCGCTGACGGGCCGTGCCCGTTCTCACCCGGGAATGGTGACTTATTTCAGTGCACTATACAGAGGAAGGCATTGGGTTTTTTTACTTTTTATCGCACCATCTACCCAAAAAAAAACAGCCATCTTCGTTAACCTATAAAATAGCCTTAAGGCTGCATGTGGAAGAAGGTATTAATCTCAAATGCCTTCGTTATGAAGTATGTGCCAGAGTGCGATACGCTAGTACCTTCAGACGGCTCTTCTGTAGAAGCCCAGAGGAGCTACGGAGTGCCTCAGGGCTCAAAAAGCACTAGCAGCAAGCTAATAACAGCCTCCCTGCCCAGCCTTACCATGTGTATGTCTTGGTCAATCTGGGGAATGCTGAGAGCCAAAATAGATGCAGTATGGTGGAATATAAATCCCCCAATTTAAGAGAACACTTCTAGTACAAACAAGATTAGTATTTTTAACGTTTCTTACATGTCTTTCTCACACATACATTTAGAAAAATCATGTTTACAGCTGACTTTTATGCTCATGTTTTTGCACAGTACATGAAGGCTGATGAAAATCACTTAAGCTAGAATCATCTAAGCTATAATGTAACGTACAGCAGTTTAACTGAAATGTGTTATGTTGTGTATATTACCTCGGATGAGGATTTTATGTCAATAATAAGTCGTCTCATGAAGAAGATGGTTTTGACAATTACCTGAAATAATATCTGGATGTTAGGGAAATTGAATTAATAGTGAGAAACCACTAGCTATAAGTAGTTTTAGTCAGTTCACTCACTGACTATGCAACCTGGGGCTATTAATCAAAATCAGAATTAAACAAATATTAATTTCAATTATGATTCTAGCTTCCAGTGATTACCAAAACAAAATAAGTGAGATAAATCGATTATTGTGCCACATTTTGTTTTGCGATGATGCTCCCGTTTTGTCTTTTGCCATAAATCCAGCGCCACCCCTATCCAGCCCCTTTTTGTTTGTTTCTCAGTTGAATTATATTTAGAGTTCAAGGAAATCCACTGTTAAAAAGACAACTTTTTAAAAAGTTCAATAAATACATGATATTTTTAAGTCAAGGTTTAATCATGTTAAATAATTGCGATCTCAATATTCACCAAAATAATCGTGATATTGATTTTCGTCTTTTTTTTACTTTTAATCGTGCAGCCCTACTACAATGTCAATCCAAGGGAAAAACATCTGATTTTATCTGATGAAAAATTAAGTGTGATGGTGTAGGTTCTTGTCTGGCCCTGAAGTTGTCCGCCATAAATGACAGATCTCTGGTCTCTCTCTACCAATCATGACGTAGATTGTCGGGTGATTTTGAGCTGTGGCATCAGGAGGTTGGGGGGCACTTCCTAGCAGAGCTTGGTAATCTTACCCTGGCATGTAACTTCTGGTAAAAAAAAACTGACGCCTTTTGATTTTTGGAGAAACAAACATAAATTTTAGCCTGGAAAATGCATTAAAATAGGAAAAAAGGTGTTTAAAGAATAAAGACTTGCAGACAACACGCTGGCACCACAATGGCCGCCTGCTCCACTGAGCTCCACCCAGCTGATGGTTGCTGCAGCACCACAGCAGCTAATGGAAAACAAACGGCAGGCGTGTTCAGTCCCGCAGAGGTCAGGCTTAAGGTGCGATTTCCCCAGGAGTGCTGGGGGGGGGTGAGTGGGTGGCACTGTACGCGCCACACCCCCGAAAGCATCAGGCCGATTGGAAACAGCTGTTAATCTTTTTAATCAGTTATACAAGAGGAACCTGACTTCCTCGTTAAATTGCTAACAAATCCCTGCGTAATGGGATGTCCTTAATCTTAAGGAGTTTACAGAGTTCAGCACATTGATTGGACCGTCTGAGATGGACTTGGCAGCATGGTGCTGTTAAGATAAACCGGCGTTTAGCGTGATGATGTCAGCGTGACTCGCTCCTAGGATAAGCAGGAAGTCA